ATCTCGTAGTTTCCACTTGTCGGTGACTCGTAGCTTCGTTTACGTGTGAACCATCAGCGTTTAGGCTTCGTGTGAACGGGGCATCAGGCTGAAATGTTTTGGGCAAATCTGGTTCCAGTTTGGATGAACCATGCCCACAGATGTGTGGTAGCCAATCAGGGAACCACGATGATCACAAAACAAGATGTGTGCCAGGTGTGGTGATGACTGAAGCAAACACATGGGCGTGGCCTGAGTCAGTGGTGGAGAATGTGGGCGTGGTGAGACGACGGTAAAGGGAGGCGGACAGGACGGCCTTCAGTCTGTCTGGTTCACATCAGAACAACATGTCCTGAAGTCTGGTTCACAATAAAACCCCAAATCATACACAAATTCTGACAGAACTCCCAGGCTGGTCCAACAGGATGAAACGATGATCAGACCGGTGGAACCGCCGGCGCCTTTCATTGGGCACAACTCAGCGACATTTAAATGTGAGTGCTGTAAAAACAAATCAATGAATTCAGGTAAAAATAGCTTCACCCAAAAACTACGGGTGCTAACCGGAACCAAACACGGTCCGTCACAGGAGAGGAACCCTTTTAGCTTCCACAAAGAACCTTTCTGCGATAGCTTCTTTCACACGTTCTCTAAAAAAGTTTTGGGTTTTTTTTGGCCCGACATGGCGCTCTAAAGAACTTTCACAAAGACGGGTTCTTTAAGGAAGCACCTTGAGGCTGTTTTGTGGACCCAGCTGGTTCAGTAGAGAACCTCTTCCAAATGGGTCTTAAGTCTTTTCTTTTTTTAGCTAACCGGTTCTTTGAGCGTTTTAAGTTCTGTGATTCTGAGCTGGTGAGCAGAGCCGTGGTGCTTATTCGTGCTCCGTTTTATTTCATTCAGTTAAAGATGAAAGTAACAGAATCAGAGGCAGCAAGGAGGCCCGTAGAACCCTGAAACCTTCAGTCCACAAGCCAACAAACACTCGGCGCTTTGAAGAGCCGTTCAGGAACCACTGTTTTCCTAGAACGAGGAGAACAGAAGAGTTCTTAGTCCAGGACCCGTTGTTGAAGTCTACAGCAGAAACAGAGTTCTGCTGGAGCCTCAGTGGACTTTGGAGGAACCAGGTCCAGGCTTCTGTTTTTCACCCTGATGATGTTCTGACTGATCTGCAGCGAGCCTGGACTCCTCATCTGGAAGCAGTGGAGACGATGAGCAGCACCTACACTCTGGACTCCAACGGGACCATCAGGTACCATCAGAACACTGTGGGACGCAGTCGAGACTTGTTCCGATCCAAAGTCGCGTTCGGACATTCTCTGGCGTGTTTAGAGAAGCGAGCAGCTCGTCGTGTTTGTTTCTGTCTGCAGGAAGATTTTGACATCTCCACGGCGACCGTCCAGCCTCTGCAGCTGTTTGTCCACATCTGGCCCGCTGAGGTCCGACCCGGGAGGTCCGACCCGGCAGCTCCTCCTGTCCTGACATGAAGACTGGGAGTTATCATTTATTCATGTTCCCAGAGCGCCGGCAGATGGTGTGATGTCATCTGTCATTAAGACATTACTGTAATCACACACACACACACACACACACACACACACACACACTCCGGCAGGCTTGTGAACTGTTGTTCTGTTCAACATCAGAACGAAAGTAGATGAGAGGACAAATGAATAGAACAGACAAAGGGATGAAGATGAAGATGAAGATGAAGATGATGATGATGATGATGATGATGAAGGATTTAAAGGAAACGAGCTAAACATTATCACTGGGGGTGTGTTTGTCCACATGTCTTTGTGGGGTCCATGTCCTCGGCAGTGGACCGTCCTCCAGAACCCAAACCACGAGGCCGTAGAACCCGACTAGAGGACCAGGAGGCACTGACCCGTTTAAAACCTTAAAGACAAACAAAGTCCTAAAAACCTGTCCAATCCAATCCGGTCCGGTCTGATCCGGTCCGGTCCGGTCCGGCAAAGTGCTGGAAAATAAAACTTCACACGGATTGTTGTTGTCGGTCGGATTGGAGATTCCTTCTCAGCAGCACTGAGCTTCGTTTCAGCAGCAGGAACCCTCCAGAAGAACCAGAGGTCAGCGGGTCAGCGGATCATAGAGACCAACGGACAGACAGGAGGACGTCAACATGAGGAGACAGAAGACCGGCGGCAGCACAGGGAGGACACCACGACACCGGTTCTGTTTGGCGTGTCTGGACAGTGACGACATTCCTCTTTAAAACGTGAGGATTAAGGCAGGATTCAGGTCCTCCTGAAG